AATCCAGTTTGTAGCATAAAGAAATGCTCTAATTCTGAGCCCATCCAGTGATACCTTAGAGGAACTACTTTAAAACTGAATTTTGATTAACAAATTTCAGCTGAGTTAAAAAGTTCTAGCTGAAAACTGTAATTAACTGATTTTTAGTAGGCAACTCCTAACCCTACGTCAATGCCACTTCTTTAACGATGAACAGCTGAAAATCAGACATTTGTTAACCAGCAGAATTTGACCTTTTGGGCACCAGGAATTCTCAACTCGGAGGATTCACCGCCTGAATCCAGCATTTGTAACACCTCATTGAAATACAAACTATAAAATCCAAGCAACCCTGGTGAAACTGCTGAATAAGAATCAGGCATTTATTGTCAGCCAGGCACGCTCACAAACACCCCCCACACACTCCCTGGCACAGGATAGACCAGCCCAGTCTTCAGCACCAACCCCAAAACAACCACCTTTGAGATGTGCACCCGCTCAGGACAACTAAAGAAGATGCTGGTCTCAAGATCTTGTAAATACTATTGAGAGACATTCAGCGTCACACTGGCAAAGCACGGTCTGGTTTATCCTGTCCCTCCAAGGTGCTCAGGAAAAAAAAAAGTTATGAAGCTTGAAGTTAAATAAACAAGTTAGAAGAAAACATACTGAAGACCAAAAAGGGGAGCGGGGAAGGGGAGAGGAAAGCTTGTTACGTGTTTGTTCAGTAAATAGGTTTTTGGTGATGATAGTGTTCAGTTCGTGCATTTTCAAACTCACCCTTCACGCTTTGATGTTTCTGCTGCTGGAAATAATCTTTCGAGCCTCTAGCGCATCGCAGCTCCTGCGCCCTGGGCAGAATCGGAATCCTCTCGAATATGCTGGGTCGTTTGGGGATGAAATCTAGCAGAGGTGCTGACATTTCAGGGGGGCTCTGCTGAGGCTCCGTGTGGTCACTGCCGTTGCTGACAGATACTTTAAAGGACATCTGAGGATTCAAGTGAGCTTTACCAGCGCCGGGACGAGTCACCCGCGGCAGATCCTTCTGAGGCGCTCCGTGGCATTTGTCGCTCACCTCGACGCGGGCGCTGCCTTTCTGAGGCGCGGCGAGCTCACAGTGCATGTCCGCTTGCGGCTGCTGCCAGGGCCCTCGCCGCTCTCCTGCACCGGGCGGCACACGGNGGCCGCCCCTCGGGGTTTGGCAGCGGGGTACGCCCGCGGGCTCGGTCCGGCTGCGCATCGCGGAGCACGGCGCGGGCATGGCGGGCACTCCGTGCTTGCGGGGGCCGGCGGGCCAGGGTCAGCCTGGGAATAGGCGCTCCCTGGGTCCGCACCTTCCCGGTGGGGAAGTCACTGCAGTTGCCCTCTTGCCTCCCGAGAGGTCAATGATCTTCCCTGCCGCGACCCCGCTGCCGTGGGCCCGGACCCTTTCCCTTTGCCCGTGGTTATCGAGGATCCTTGTGCCTGCCCCCAGGCGATCTGCTCGGGCGTGCGGCTGCCCCGGCATTACACATCCACAAGCCAACCCGCCACTGAACAGCTGGCAATGCCCTATAAACAACTTGTGTGCGAAAGCCACAGCCACTGCAGCATGTCACAGAGGAGCAGCAGGAGAGAGCAAAGCCTTGCCAAGGCCAGGGGCTGGGAGGGAGGAGATGGGTTGGAGGTGGATACAACCTAGCCAAGACATCTCTCTGATGATGCAGTTCCAGCTGCATTCAGTGCTTCAGTCTATAGACATGCATCATTCCCTGCCTGCCCTACAGGTGCAGAAGCTGTCCCATGCCCACAGAGACAATTAAGCTAGCTCAGAGCAAGCACCACAGCATAGTGACATTTGCACTGGCTCCTCCTGGGCCAGCTTGGGTCTGGAAGCAATCTAGTTGGGTTTATTAGCTTGGGCCTGGTTCCAAGCAAATGCAGGCTGAACCATGATGTGCAGCTTTGCACCAGAGAGCTGTACCAGTCCACACTTCTGGCTCAGGGATGTCTGCACCCTCCTGCCCTACATGCTTCTGTCAGCACAGGTGCAGCACAGCAGGTCTGTAACACACCAGGGCAGCTCGAAGATAGGAGAGACTCGGAATCAGCCCTGATTTACATGGGTGTAAATCAGACAGACATCTGGTTGGAAATCCTGCTTGTTCACAGCAAACCTAAAGGAGAGGCTTGGGAAATTTAGCACAAGGAGGAGGGACAGCTACTGAACTGGCATCTTGCTACACCCCTCCTGAGAAGCATCCCACTGCGAGACAAGAGATCTTCATCTTCTTATAGCACAGATGCTGCACAGTGCCTCACTCAGAGTTTTATCCGGCCCTTAATAACATCTGCCACACTGCAGTGCACAGAGTACAGGAATGGTCAGGACAGCAGGGCATGACTTTTTCTTGGCAAATGCTATGAATGTTGTGGATTTAGTGGGAGGGAAGCAACTCTCAATAAAAGATACAAGATCTTGAGATAGAACAAGTAGTTCTGGGAGAAGCAGTACTAATGACTCTCATTTGCAATGCCTCTCCTCATTCCTACTTAGCACGGATGACCTGAGGTCTACCAAGCAAGGAACTTGCTAGCCTTTCCCCTCAATAATGGCAGTAATAAGGTCTTTTTCTTCTGTAAAACCGTGTCTTAAATTGTCAGAAGTTAATAGTGTCTGTCAGATGTGGTTGAAAATTGGTAAATGTCCTCTGAATATCTTAGTGAGTACAAGAAGCTACAAAAAGGGAGAAAATCCCTACCTTACCTCTATGGGAAACAAAACTGAGTATCAACTAGCTGGCATAAATACTGAATTCAAATGGCGATATACCAGGGATTTATGAAAACAAAGTAAAAATTTTCAGTATGTATCATCACACCGCTTCTTAGAGCTCTGCTAACTTAAGTCCCCACCCCCCAGTCCTGTCCATCCATGGGGCCCTGAGTACCAAGCTGTTCTTTTTCTTTTATTTGGAAATGCTAAAGGCACCTGGCAGTACTACCACAAGCAGTAATTATTTAAGACAGAAATACACTGTGGCGACGGCCTAAACCTCAGTTGACATGAAGAGGCAGTAAAATTTACTGAGGGAAATATTATTCCAGAACACAGTGTAACCAGAGAAATCCCACTGCTTCCAGTGTAGGGAATAAATAGCATTTCGGTGGATCCTGAACATGGGCTCATCTTGTGCAAATTATTGAAGCTGTATTAATATATGCTGCCCAAATATCTGGAGGGAGTTTCCTAGAAAACGGGGAGTTTTGGATATATTGTGTACCTTCCTGGAGGGATTTTCTTTTGTGGTTAGGGATTTTCCCACAGCAAGCAGGGAGAAGCTCATTAACCCTTATCACTGCATTCTGTACCCGAGGTCGTGTGTGGCCTGCTCTGAACCGCTGCTTCTTTCCTTTTATCACCAATATCCAGCACTTTCTGCAAAATACCGGCAGGTGCCGCCACTGGCTCAGCAATCGCCCAGGGCCGGGCTGTTCCACGGGCAGGAGCGGGCACGGAGCCTCCTCCATGTGCTGCGCACCCTCCACAAGCCAGGAAAGGTTTAGACTGAAGCACATCACAGCTCCAACAGCACAGAGGGTAAAGGCCCTTCACACCGGAATTTATTTCTCTGTGGCAGATCGTGTCACAGAAATACAGACCTCATAGCTCAAGTTGCAGGTCCCCATATTCCTCCCACAGGAAATGAGGCCCCGTGGAGTCAAACCTGCGCTGTTTCCTCCAGTTCCAGTGTGCATTTGGCAGCTGCCCTGTCTTTAGTGGGACTGTGCAGCTGGGGATGCCCAGCCCTGGTCCTGAGCAGGAGAAACAGGTGGTGGATGGACACTGTCTTCCAGATCTGGATGTGTCTGATAGAGACTTGACTCCTATAGCTGTTTCAAAGCAATGACTTGGCCCCTCTGGCGAGTGCACAGACATGGAAGGAACAAGAGCTGGGAGAAACAAATGCTCCTTGAATAACTGTACAGAGGCAAGAGTTAAGTAGTCCTTTTTCTCTCCCTGCTGAATCAGAAGACACTTCATATGTTTTGGTTCTGGAACAAAGGTCAAGCAAGTGCAATCGTGGCTGCTGAGACTACTCGATGCCCTGGGTCACCACGACTTTGCTTCACGTACAAACTGTACAGCACACACTGATTCACCCAATTTTGTCACTACATCCATGAGCTAGATGGGTGTCTCCCTCCTTGTGTCCTGTGAAAAGCAGTCATTGGCCTCTCTCCTCCATGACAGCAATAGTCTGCCCTTAGAAAAAATGGGGGGAAGATTTCTTTTTATTAGCCTTCTTGTTCAACACTTCTGGTTGCCAAGGGCTGTGGTCATTGGTCATGGCATAGCTCACAGTTAGGCCACTTTGCTCTTCTCTCTGTTAATGATGTCACCATCAGCAATGCAAACCTCTCAGTTGAGGCAGACAGGCCATCTTCAGTCCCTGAAGCTAGTCCCTGCTTCATTCTGAGTCACATATGAAAGGTGGGATTGCAATTTGGTATAAAAAACATCCAGAGGAATGAACTGCTCGCCTGAACATCCTCACACTAGGTCAAGTGGGTAGGACACAGGTGCTAAGTAATTAGAGACTTGCCCATCTGCCCATTCGCTCCTAGCTGGTGACCAAAGAAAGAAAAAACAGGTAGTAGTCTAAGGCTAGCTTGGGCCAGAGTGAAATTGAACCAGTAAGCAAAACAAGTTTTTTAAAGTTTGATCTATTTTCCCTACTGACACCAACCATGATCAGATCATTGCTATGACTGTTTTCAGGGCCTACAGGTGCTTTTGCAGACGCTCGACAACCTCTTTGCTCTGAACAGTCCCTGTGCTCACAGCTGCACAGGCAGAGGTGCAGTTTCCTGCCTCAAGAGCTGGATACACCTGACAGTGAGAGATCATCTGGTAAAGGATGGTGGTCCTTTACCCCGAAAGGACCCTGCATGAAGGAGACTCCAGTTCACCAAATGCAGCCTTCAAAGCTCTTTACCTTTGTCAGGAAGCAACGGCTGTAACCGGCCGCCGTCACAAACCGGATCTTCGAGAAACTCAGAGCAGCTGAAACCTCCCGTTCCCCAAGCAGTTCTGTGGGAGGAGAGGAACGAAGCAGAACGGATACAGGTAAGCTGAGCTGCACAGAGCAAACAAGCAGAGGTGAAGTACTAATCTTTAGTTCACATATTGAAATAATCTATTCCAGCAAAACGAGATTTTAAAAGGACACAATTGAAATTGTGAGAACTTTTTGTAACTGCTTCAGTGCAGACAGAGGTGGGGAGTGTTACCATAATACTGGGCAAAACAAGCTCTCTGGTGGGAGAATAACAAACTTTATTATAAATAACCTGGCTGCAAAGGAGATGTCAATTCACACACAGCAGTTTATTTACAAAGGCATGCCAAGTCTAGACTTGTTTTTGTTTTAATTTACTGCATCAAAGATAGCAAAAGAGAAACAACCAAACAAAAACTGAGCCAAAGGAATTGTCTCTGAGTATGCCTGTTTCTTAGAGATTGCCCATATCCCTTTAAGGCAGCACAAAGCCCTTCTTTATAGTGATTGGAAAATGACCTCCTAAATTAAAGCAGCAGGGTCAAACTGACCACACATTATCTAGTGATGGACTCAACTATTGCCTCATAACTTACAGAATTGTTTATAGTTCTTGTAGTTAGAAAAAAGAAATTCCTCAAATCACACTGACTTATCTTTCAAAAACAAACCTCTTTACAATAGCATATTTTGGGAAAATCACATGTTAATATTGAATCCACTGTTGTCTTGCAGAAACTGCAAGAAACAACCATCATCTCCAAAAGATGCTGTAACACTACAGATCCCTCCTGCCTCCCCAGTTAATTGGCAGATGATTCCTGTGAACTTTGAGGAAAACACCTATAAGAAGGGTCCAACAAGGATCCATTCAGGATGTGGTTGTTTACACCTGCAGTTAGTTTCCTCAAACATTTATCTGTACCATTTCTCTGCATCAGTCCATAAATAGATCCATCTCTCACACCATGTACACACAACACGGGTAGTAAAAGAAACTTCAGTCATAAACAAACAAACCAACAAACAAAACCCCCACAGAACAGCACAACTAAAGAATGTTCAGCTTGTAAAATCCAGTCCTTGGCACTGGGACTTGCCAGGACTAGAATTGCTGATACAAACTTGACTCATGCCTACTCTAAATGAGTTACAGAACTGGAGTTATAACATGACCCCCACTTATTTTGCCTGGGGTTCCATATATTCAATGCACTGAAGACAGTGCTGAATGAACAGCTAGTCACTCTTCTGTTTTCTCTTATTGGCACAGTGTCTGGGCCACACAGTGAATGTATTTACTGAACACCAGCCACACCCTGTGCAGAATACAGAATTATTCATTTACTCCTGGGCAGTTATTTGGTGCCCATCATGCAGTAGCCTACTGATTTGGACACAGACTATTTCGTTATCATCACTGGAGGTGAGGGAGGGTGGGGTTAGGCTAAACCCCATTTTACAACAGGGGCCCAGAAGCCAAAATCTTCAGTTTGAGTGCTAAACTTGTGACAAAGATCGATTGGTTCCCTCACCCTTCACTCCAGGTTGTTTAGCATTTCCCATCATTGTCTATGGTAAAACTCATTTCCAGTTCCATCGGTTAAATTAAACCCTTGGTGTCCCAAACAGAACATGCAGAATCTGGGAGACTTGCAAAGTGACCACCTGTGAAGAGCTGAAGTGCAAAGCACAAAAAAGACAAACCCATTTTTCCCCAACCAGTTTTCAGCTAATAACAAGAGCCGACTTTCTCTTCCTAAAACACACTGTGGTTGCTGATAAAGCTTTCCCAGAACTGATTGTCTGTGTGTGCAAAGACAAAAGCCCCTCAGTACTCAACTGTGAGATGCAGCCGTGCTCAACCCAAAACTTTTACCACCCCTGACAAGGTCCGTGGCCTGGACCTGCTCTGAGCAGTGACCTCTGGCAGTGAACAGACAGGGAACCCAGTGCCTTACAGAGCTATTGCCCCATCTCCCTGCTCCTCAGAGCTTGCCCTGGAGGTAGGCACATAGTCTGTCTCTCGAGCTGAAACTTCAAACACTAGGAAGCCCACAGCTGGAACTTGCTTAGCAAGCAGAGAATGATGCTTACACGTAACTAACAATCTTTGACTCGCAGGCATTTATATATTTCCATTCCTAATTCCTGCAAAATTCCTCCAGGGCTCTTGTCATACCTTTACAGACAAGATGCAGGTATAAACAACAGCCCACCCCAGCCCTGTGTTTTAGGAGACAGATTTAAAAGTGGAGTTATTCAAGAAGTGAAAGGCAAAGCCTGTAATTTTTTGTGTGTTTTGGGCAGGAGCAGGAGAGGAACTTGCAGTACACTCAGCACTGGTTCCTTTGATGATTGCATGAGTATATACATGTGGCTTAGGCCACAGTTTTCTCTGCAATTCTTACTGTAGGAACTGACTCTTTAGGGAGATAGGGAAACTAAAGAGGAAATTCCTGTGCCATCACTATTTATTCTATGAATCAGCTTGCATATCCAACAGGGAACTATTCCCACTTGAATTTGTGTTTTGTTCTCGTGGCAGGCTCCAGAGACCCCATGTTCATCTGTCTCCTGACTGACTAGCTCTACTGTAGTTTACAAGATTTTTTTTAAGAACAGAAAGGTGAGCTCTTCTGTAGGCTATTTTTTTTGTTTTCTGAAATCTGAGCATGGTGCAGGTTTTGCTTTCTCAGACACGAGGGAGCTGCACTGTTTGTTTATTCTACACCATTTGTGCAAAGCCAATCTGCCAGATGCAAATCTACCATGAGTCTGCAGCAAAGGAAAGCAACATTCTACATCCCCTTACAACACAAGAGCTTGGCAAACCACATTCCAGGCACGTCCACAGCACCCAAATGCATTTAATCCACACAGCAAATACATTAACACAGTACTGGTGATGAAAAATAGCAAAGACCACAAGAGGGAGGAGGGTGTGGGATCAGTGGGGAGGATTCTCAACTTGCAGGGTAGTGTCTGTGATGATTCCACACAGACTTTCCCTGTTTCATTGCATCTTTGAGGAGAGGAGGTGATGGGAGTGGTGGGAACACACCTGCTTGAATAGGGAAAGCGCTGTGAGCTGCCACCATTCATCCCACAGGGAAAGGAGACAGAACTGTACGTGGCAAAGCACCTCCACAGCCAACAGTGCTCCTGAGGCCACCTCCTATGGATTCCATACAGCCACCCACCCCCAGTGCACCAGGCCCTCCCCAGGCAGAGCACCCATCCCGCAGGTGGCCACGTGCAGGAGCTGGGGAGGCCCGGCAAGCACAGAGCCCACAGAGTGCACCACTTGCCTGTGACTGAACAGGTACCAGAATATTCATCAGCGAGAGCCTGGCACTTCCCTGGCTGCCCTGGGAGCTGGAGGAGCGTGGTGGGAGGTGAGAAGATGGCTGCTGCAGGCCTCGGGACACCGAGCACGGCACGCACAATGCAGCCTCTGTTCAAAGCACACAGCAACAGAATCGAAACCACTTCATTTCAAGGGGCATTCAGGCCTGGAGCCGCGACTGGCACAGGGACAATTCTCCAAAGTGGCAGAGCTCCTGTTGAGGGAGCGAGTCCTGCCTGGTTCCTGTGGATACAGCAGTGTGCAAGAGCTTCAAGGGCCAGGGCCTCTGCATTTGTCCACCCACAGTCTGAATTTTCAAAGATGTATCTCAGAAAATGAAGCAAGATAGGTTCTTTTCAGATTTATAACTGACTGCTCTAGAGCTTAAGCCTCTATTTCATTACACCACTGTAAGAGGAACATGGGTCTGTACCATCAACCATTTACCTCTCCATAGCTGCAATGGGTATTATTTTAGGTACTCTTGACTGCAGCTCACCTGTGGGAGAGGCAAATTGTTCACCAGGTTACCAGAATAGTGTTTCACCTGTGCATGCAGCAGGCAATCCTGCAACAAGATGCAGCTCAGCTTTGAGATGATTAAACAGATGAAAAATACGAGGCTTGAGGGATCCAGTTTCACTGCAGCTACACAGAAACCAACTGTAAAAAGGCTTTATTTTTTTTCTCGGTACCCAGAATGCAGAATTGAACTCAGGAGACTCTTCCCCTACCTCAGAGAGGCTTCACAGACTGATTCTTTTTATGTTAAGACAAAAGTATCCAAAAGGACTTGAAACACCAGCACAGTTTGCCAAGGGAATAGAATTATTCCCGAAGCCAAAACCAGAGTAAGATGTTATCAGTTACTCAACCTCAAAGGGCACCCAACATACACTTTATATTCTTGTACACTGTGATTCACAAGCATGAGATACTGTTAAAGATGCACTTTTAAGTTAAGGCTTAAAAAAAAAAAAAAAAAAAGTCTTCAGCTCTTTAAATATTGGAACTGTTAAAGAAACCATGAAGCAAACAGCTTTTAAAAGCTCTTCTGTCATAGGGAGAATGCCATGAATCACACACACATTAGCAGATATGTGCAAATGTCTGCTGCAACACAAGGACAGACCTCAACCATTTTGCCATCAAAAAATCATCTACATTTTAAGTCTGTTATTCACAACTGTAACACTTAATTAGAACTAGCAGTTTGTGGCTGTGGGAGTGTTGCAGAAAATACCACAGCAATAAAAATTATGCACCTGTTCAAAAGTGTGAAAAATTTATTTGAAACTTTCATCTGCAGTATTTGGGTTACCAGTTACACCTGAGGTACCAGCTAAAGCACCATTTAACTTCAGGTGCACATTGCAGTGCCAAAAAATATGCAAATTAAATTATTTAATAAGTCAGGCAGGCAGGAGGCTTCTACATGTGGTAGAAGTCAAGCGTGGGGAAGCTTTAGCTTAGCCTTTCACAGTTTTTAAAGGTTATCTATCACCTTACTTTTTGCTATGAGCCATCTCAATGCAAAAAGAACAGTATCATTCTCATTTCCACTGCCAAATCTAACATCTGCAGTGTCTGCATTACAAAAAAATTACCTCTTTGTACTGAAGAAAGCAATATGCAGGTTTCAGTGGAGATTCAAGAGTTTCTCTTTTACCCAAACCTTACAGACACCCTATTACTACACTGCCACATCACACCAACATAACTTAACATCATGGCCATCCTCAAATCTTGGGTCCTCTGTTAAAAAAAAACAAAACAACACAACAAAAAACATAGGATTAACAACACTGAAGGAAAACAATAGCTTTGTTTCCCCTTATCAAAATAAATTCCTTTGCAAGACTATTTAGCTTACTGTTCTCATCTTCATACTCCACCCATTTTCCAGTATAGGTATCACTGTAACTGAAGTACCTTTAAAAACTGAGTACTTCATTTCCAAATTATTTAGATAAGCTTTCAGATAAAAAGCTTTAGAAAAGTAGTATTTTTCACCAGAATCTACCAATAATGTATATACCATTTTGAAAAATCTGGATGTGCTGCAAACATCCATCCTACCCCCCAAACAGAAAGCTGTTGATCTAAACTTTAATTCCCATGATGATTACTTGGGAGTTTTACTAAATGCAGTACTGCTTCCTGTATGTTTCTGTGTAGATCAGAACTTGGTTCACTAAGTCACCTTAAAGATAAAATCTGAGCTGCTCACTTTCCAGGCAGTATTTGTGTGCTAATGATGCCTTTCTGCACACCCATTTTACTCTGAAGGAGCATTTCCAGCTTACAGAGGAGCAGCATGTTTTATTTCTGGGCACATCTGTTTCCTACACTTAAACTACACTCTTGATCTAAAAGTGTTATCAAGTAAATTTATGAGGCACTTAAGCACTAAGTATCTACGTGAATCTCTCGTCAGCCCCTTAACAGAAGAGAGTAGGGAAAGAACACAGTGTGAAAAATAATGAAAGATCTGAGTGTCAAAATAACTCTGGCAATCTTAAATGTCATAGTCTTACCTAGAAAGAAGAACTGGCACTTTCTCATTTGTAAGTGACATTAAAAGAAAGCAAGATGAATTTTATAAGTTTTATTATACAAAAAATGATCCAAACCCATAAGAACTCTTCTACAGTTCTAAAAGTTTTGTTCTGCAACCTATACTTCCATATGCTTTTCCAGAAAGGCAAGGTAAAAATCCTCATTAGTCCCACTTTCTTCTTAGCAAGAGTCTTGAAAAAACCAACCGTAGTTGCATCGAAATTTATTCTTTGTACTCCAGGAATTGCTGAAGTCTTTTCTTATGTTCTGTAGACACTTGTACAGCACTAGAAACAAATGCAGAACATTTTACATTAAAAGTAATACAGCACAAAAATAAAGTCTCATGCCAAAATTGAGTGTATATTGAAATCAATTGCACTGAAGCTAAATTTTATGAAAAACCATCTATGTTCCAAGACAAAGAAGGGTATTAACCCTTGAAACTGCCAATTCTTATCTCAACAGCTTCTGAAAAATACCTATACCAGGAAACCTTGCCCATTTCCTTACCTAAACAGCAACTGATTAATTTGCAAGGATGATTTAGGTAAGAAAGAATCTCCTAAAATGATCCCTCCTGTGTACTGAGCACTTCTAAACTGAGGGACATTTCATCCCCAGAGGGAGAGATGGGCAGATACTACAAGGAAGTTTCAGTTCCACATATTCTAAGGCCAAGTATGGAAGTTTGCCTGCTGGGAGAGTGGCTGAGGAAGAGTTGTTGGACAACCAAGAAGTGATGGAATTTCATTATTTGGACCCTTCATAAAATTCTCTCTCTGCAGAACAATTGTCTCTAGTTGATTTATTTTCTTTTCAGCAGCTCAGATTTATTAAGCAAGTGGTATTCATGAAATGCTTCTAAAGAGTTCATGAAAAGTCACTAAGAAAAATTGCCCAGAAATCTATGAATAATAAATTTCTAGGAGGGACCATATATCTACACAGGAAGTTTTTAAGGTTCCACAAATCAAAAAATACTAAAATACCACATTATAATAATGACCAGAAGGGATTTTTTTTTCCCTAAACTTCCCTTTTCACAGGTTCTACAATAACATTAATTAAACTAAATTAAACAAACAAGCAATCGTGAGGAAGTTCTTACTTCAAGTGTTCTCCAAAGACAGTAGTTATCCGGTATAGGGCTGTTTTCAGAGATGCTCTAAGTGCAAACCGTAGTGTTTTGTAGGATGTGTCCACCAGACTCCCTGAAATTCGGGGAGGTTTGCTAGAAACATGTGGCAGTTTGAAATGTCTGTCTACGACCTGATTGGGGAAAATAGATTCTTGTCAATCATTTCATAATGTAACTAGTGACATATTTGTGTCAAATAAAGCAAAAACAAAGTGCAAGTTCAGAAATTCCACCAAGATACACAAAAATGTTTTGGAGACTGAGTTCTGTGAAATAAGATTCTCTGTTACTGAGTCTTAAGCTAAGCACATCACATGCTACAGGAGAAACACAATTCTGTCCTGTTTCTTTCACAAACAAGGATATTGGCTTTTCCCCCCTCAGTGACTGTTCTTGGAATAGATGACTTACACTGAAGAACTTTAATAACCTCTAAATTCTTTCCAAGGATCTCCATTAGGGCAAAATGTAAAATGATTATGTTAATAGAACACGGACAGCCTTGGAAATAAAACTAGACTTTTAAAAACACACATTACACAAACATCAGTAATTTGAGAGCAGTGTCTTAGTGTTAGTAGAGACACAGATTTTATCTCCTCAGATTTGCAATGTCTCCAAGTGCTCCATGTTGCACCAGGAATCGTGTGCAACCAAATAAAGATTAAATTCCAACTCTGCAAAAGATATTGTATTAGAATTGCTGCATCCCTGAAATAAATTCTTCAACTACTACACAGTAGCATTTCTTTAAAACTAAACATTCCATATTTTCTCCTTCCACATTTTAAAAAACCAACAGGGTTTTTATTCAGCTGTTTCACAGTGTACATAGTGGCAACCAGCTGTTTTCATTAGATTAACTGCAGAAGAACTGTTTTGTGGCAGCAACTTCAATGTTATGACTAGTCAGCAAGGTTATTATGTAAAATCAACAAGATTCCTTCTCCTCTCCTAAACTTGCCTTGCAGCAAGAAAAAGTTAACAGTTTTACCTCCTGAAGAGTCAGTAATGTGTTCAGGATAGCTGGCAGTGTAGTTTGGACAACTCCAAATTGGTCTTCAGTAAAGGAGGCTGCTACCAAGTGAGACAGACCTTTCATAAAAAAAAAATTTGTTGTAATTAATGCTTCAAAAGGTGAGAATCCAAAAACAAAGATCATGGTGTTCTAGAAGATTCCATTAGTGTGCTAGAATTCCTCAGGACTTGCTGCTGCCAGCTGACAGTCAGCTCTGACTCAAGGACTAACCACTCACTTGTTTGACAGGTGTATAAGATCCTGAGGTTGGTAAAGCAAGCGAGATTATATAAAAATTATGTGTGATTCCCATCTCCAGACTCTATACATGCCAAGCCATCATGTTCAATCCAACACAGCAAGGCACATCTGCCCATAAAACACATCACTGAGGAAACTGATCAACTTTTCACAGTCAAATGTAATAGAAGATTCTATCAACACTGGTATTTACTCATGACTTTGAAAGAAGAAAAATCCAAAATGTAACTTCATACTGTCATTGTTCTTCTAATTCTCTGCAAACTGTCACTGTTCTTCTAATTCTCTGCAAACCATCTTTTTTGTTTATTTGCTAAGTTACTTTAGTCATGTTTGTGTCTGGAATGCAGTTGTGTTTCTGTCAACAGCATTTCAAAGATTTGCATTGTTACATTTATACAGCTCAGAGCCCAGAGAGTTTTCCATGAGCCAAGAGAGTGGATCACCTGGAAACCACTTACCTTCCAAAGCCCAGATGTGCATTTGGGCATCAGAGAAGACGGCCTGGATGGAGGCTTCTGGGTGCTGAGAAGAAACCAAAATGTTTTGAGTACACTTTATAAATAATACCACCAAGGCCAACAGATCTTGGGAAACAGACAGAAAAATCTGATCTAACGAAGTAAAATTCTTTTTGGAGAGGAGCTTCCCACAACATTACAGCTGTAATTGAGGAGGGGAATAAAAAAAGGGGGAAGAAAAGGATATACACTAGCTAGTTTTCAAGGGCTAAGATTGCTTTAAGCAAAATGCAGTTTCTAATCAGATGAGTTTTAAAAAGCACTGTTATTCTTATTTTCTGCAGTTATGGGACAATCCTGCTGCAAAACTCACAGCAAGCAAGTTGTACTTCTGGAAAGCCTCAGATGAAAATACAGCTTTTAAAGCCATTACCTGTGTCTCAAACACAGGACCACCCTTACCTTGCTGAAGAAATACATTATCAGCGCCCGTTTGGACAAGAAGGTTTTTATCTAAAAAGAAACAAAATATTAAACATATCATCTGCATTTATTTAAGGCATGCACAGTTGGCCCTTCTCAACCCTACCACCTTCACACAGCATTAAGCCATTGGGAGGGGAGGGAAGGATTTGTATTATATAAGCTAAGTGGAGAAGGAAGTATTCATTCCATAAAGTGGGAAATTCTTCCAGAGAGGTATCACCTAAGCTGCACCTCCTATGCACTGCTATTTTACTCCACCTGTTCTTGCTTGTTCTGAAGCCATGTGTAAATAAATCTTGGCTGCACTGCCTCAGTGCCAGTTCTTGCAGCAGAGAGCACAGGGAAGGATTCATGGTGAGAACCATTCATTTGCTGATCTGCAAGAAAAAAATACAGTATCTTCAGGAAAATTGATGGCTGTCAGTTTAATCCTCACAGTGCAGCTCTCCATTGACAAGGCTACTGCACCTATGGCTGTGAGGCTCAAGTGATGTGGAAGAACCTCTACCTGAAACTGATGTCCACAGCTTTGGTCCCCTTCTCATGACATGGGGACTTTGGACTGGTCCATGCCAAGGAGACTTTATATCCACAACTCCCATCTTGTAATTTAAAGCAGGAGAGCTGAAAGGTGAACCAACATCAGAGCCAGGAGATGTCTTCACAGGCATCAGGGATGGCTTAACCAGTGGAGACATGGAGGCTCTGAGAACAATGTTGGACCTCTGTGACTGGAATGACATGTCTTCTATCCCAGCAGCTCCTAGTGACAAAGAACACAGTGCATGAAGACAACAGGCTGGCACAATGACACAGGAGATGGGTTTGTTATTTGATTGCTAATTTAACAACTTATGTATCAGAGCTTTTAAGAAAGGACATGGTTAGCCCTCTGGTCTTGCAAAGAAGTACACATCAACATAAGCATGTAAGGTTTTTAAAGTTCATCAGCTTGAAAACAGCAAGTGATGAGAAGGATCCCTGTGAATTTATTTATTTTACTCCTGCTAGCCAACATTACAACACCCTGCTATATATGTACATAAAGTGGGCTCTTAGCATTAAGTGCTAGGAAAAAGGCTGTCCACAGAAGAATGAAAAGTCATTCTGATTGACATGTAAGAAAAGGCATGTCTCCAAACCCAAGGATCAGCAGCACTAAAAGAAATTCACCTGTGACATATCAACAGTGCCTGCTGTTGCCAGGGCACTGACTGCTAAGGGATTCCATTACCTGGCAGCCTTGTGCTAACACAGCTGTGCTGCCAGGAATGATGCCCAATTCTGGCATGTAAAACACTCAAAATGCCTGGAGGCTGCTCACAGCTCAGGAGTCAGACTGGGCTTTCCTCACTCTACAGTGGTATTAGTGAATCACACAAACATAAACAGAACCTAATTTTACCATCTTAAACTAATCATAAGAGCAGTTATGCAAATTACAGAGCATCTCTTGGCAAGACTTAAATTCTCCCTGTGCTGTGTTGAACCATTTACTGAAAATGTGATAATCAGACTTTTTTTATTCATGCAAGTATGCACAAAATACTGTATTGAACATAATACCATGCAGATAAACAAACTGAGGAAACATGATAATTGCAAGTCTTCTAGCTATTTTGGAATTATTTAAATACAAATGCCTAAGACTGATTGGGGAGGATCTTTTTTTGTATGCATTTATTTGCAGAAATCCCTCGTTTTCGTCATAAAATTTAATTGAGACTAAGGCATCTATTGCTACCTTCATGCTTTACAAACCTTTATGAGCATTTCCTCACATACCTGGAGTCTGTGGAGGTACTTTCAGCTCTCCCACTGGTGGCTTTGCTCTCCCATTTGCTGCTGCTGCTGCTTCCTGCTGTGCAATCAGCCTCTGAGTCAGGTCACTCAGGAGACTCAAACACTCCCGGGATATCGCAGTCCAGTTGTGTGGGTGCCCACCTGGCAGTGTGCACAAAGAGCAGGATTTAACCCAGCTGCTCCTCCCTGCATCTGTTCTGACAATGTCCATGTGCTCCCAGCAGGAGCTTCACTGTCACAGTGCCACTCAGCTTCTAAAACGCCACAGGGCATTTCCACTGTGACAGCTTGTTTGTACCAAGAGGAAGATGAAAACATGAACGGATTCAATGGATAACTCTAAAAGACTTCAGTGAAACCTGCTAAGCAAGCAGGCAACACAGGCAGTTCAGCCCATCAGATCTGAAATCACTGAACAGCTACAATGAACAAATATCAGTGGGATGGCAACAGAGTTTTGAAGTAGTACAAACACTAGAATTCCAGATAAGGTGCTACAAGAAGTTCCTGAAGGTTTCTAAGCAGTTTTAATTGACCTCCTCTGCCATATCTGAATACAGCAAAAGGACTGTGCACTAATTGAAGGTACAGCCAGTGTTTGCTCTCATAGCTGCAGTGGTGACTCAGTATTTGTGCCCAATTTCCCCACACTCACACCTCAACATTCAGCTTCTATACACATCTGTTAAGTTGTCCAGTCTGGGCTATCTGACTGGTGGTGTGAAGTGGGCCCTGCTTTCAAAATCCTAAACCTGTGTTTCCTCATGACTCATTTAAATCCAACAGACATCACAACTGATTGAGTTTAGCAGGTCAAACAGTATGAATATAGATAATTAAGCATCATTTTGGAAAAGGCACCACTGGGAAGAGGCTCCTGGCTCATGTAGCATACCTTACAACATTACATAATTTCTAAGAGCATTTGACTAATGGCTTTAAAAAAGGAATCAACACAAAATAATTTTTATAATTACCTGGCTGACTAAGGCTGAAGACTTCCTGTCGTCGAACAGGAGAATACTGGGAAAGTAACATCAAGTCTTGTAAGGCTAAAAACTACAAAGAAAGGAAAATGCTTTAGTACATGCAAAGTCCAATGTACTTGCTTAAAAAATGTGTAGTTATCCATACAAAATCAATTCCTGACAAAGGATGAGTTCACACTGGCTCAAACCAGTCATGTAAGAGAAAGAGAATGGAAGCAATCCCTAAAACCACTCTGAATGGGGCTGCTGAGCTACTAAGAGCTTTACTGATATGTCAGTTCTCAGGAGTTCAAGAAGATCTAACACTTGTTTTATTCTAATAGCTCAGGCAGAAAGATATTAAGACTTTAAAAAGTCTAAGAAAAAAACCTGTTTTTGTAAAGCAGAGCTCAACTACAGCTTTAGGGTCACAGTGCCTTATGGGACCAACCTAGCACTGCTTTTTCATCTGATTAAGCAATTCATGTGCCAAACTAAAAATAACCAGATTTCTCACAATATGCAAAACCCTATTATAAACTGGAAATTTTAATGACATCTGAGATCATATATTAGATTTCCTGTTCCTTTAACTGTTTGTTAAACAGCTCAACTCTTCCCCACCTATCCTCAGATAATCTTAAAAAGGTATTACAACCTATTGTATCTCCAGCCTTATCAGAAATCTGTAAAATCAGTAAAGGTAGATTTTGCATGTGCAAGAGAACATTCTTATCTTTATTTATATAATATCTCTTAAATGAGGTCTCCAATTTCTAAGTGTTATAATCAGTAACTCCTATTAATAATTACCATAGACCAAAATTCCTCTTCTTTACTCACAGGTTTTAAGTAGCTTTTTATTATTGTCTTTTAGAAAAAAGAAACCAAACTTCCAGCGTAAGTATGGATATATTTTTAGTTTCAAGAAAGAACACACATGCTAAGAGCTCAAATGTATGTTGCAGGGACAAGATGCTAAGAATACAAAGGTTTGAGGAAACACCTGCTTAATGTGACAAGACTCAAAGCTGAGTTACAAAAACCTGAATGCCACCAAGCTGCTGTTTTTGCATCAGTACCCACTATGACACTGCTGTTGCACACAGATCTTACCTCTAACTAAATGAATCTTCAGCTTACAGAAACAGCATGGTGAACACCAGCAGATGTCACTACTAAACAAGTTTTCATTAAATTCAATAGCCTGTGAATGCTCTGAGGCAGCTTTTCAAGCAACTAACACCTCAGTGAACAGAACTGGTATCTGGAAGATGTGACTGGATGCTCTGAAAAAAACCCTTTTCAGCACACACCTGTTAGGGAAGAGGTAGGAGTTCAATTACCTTTATAAGGAGGGGAGGATTGCTGTTTAAGATCTTAGGCAGGCACTGGTCTGTCTCCTGAGCAAATGTTGGTTGAATGGGAAAATGATGACTCTAAATACAAACATCAAAAGTTGTGTTATATAGAGGAAAGCACAAGAAAAATCTTATGAAAGACTAGTAAACTGGCCTGGAATTTCTAACATAGAAACAAAAAGAGTTTTACTCCTTTCATTTAAAATTTAGAAATCTTAGAAAATCCAGACATCTTTATCTTCAAATAAATGTGCTCTTGTGGGCTAATCTTACAATTTCTTTCCTGACTTTTCAGTTAACACTACGCAAATATTTAAAAGCAAATTTGGAAGCTTTTTAACTCATTAAGAAAAACAAAACCGTTTGGATAAACAAATCTTTTTCGTCAGCCAAAAGGGCAAAGTCCATTTTATACTTTCACAGATGGATGATTTCTTTAGTCTTCCATGATTTTATTAGCAATACAGTAATTAGAGATGTTGACAAGGTGTTCACTGGTGCTTGTTATTATCCTTTGAGACAGGTTGCTCACACCTCAGAGCTGTTGTCATGCTTGACTCATCACTGATCTGTTCTCCACGTAGTCACAACAACTACACCTTTCTAATTAAAGCTAATTAAACACCCCAACAGCATTATATTTGCCATTTCATTCCATGACTTCTTTGCACCAATGCATACACTGACCCAGGATTTAAACCTCACTTTTTTTTCTCTTATCAAGAGTCTTACAGTGTTTTAATTAAAAAAAAACCAAACATAAAAATCAGTTAGATGAACAATTTTTTCCTCTCTAAGGAAATATCTGGAAACAGAAGCAGAGGAGTAAGAGGAGGAGGTGGCAGTAACAAAACATTAATTTTGTAAGCACAGATCTTGCTATGAGAAGGGAAAGTCAATGCCAGGCCTCTCTTGACTATTCAGTTATCAGTGACTATCTGTAGTGCTTGCTGTGAAAATTCAAGAACTCACACTGAGTTATTTCCTAGTAGAACTGCTTTTGAAATGAAAGAATTATCTGTGCCACATTGATGATGTAACTTGAGCACTGTCACAAGTACTGACCTCTGTGGCATAGATTTTGAAGAGCAGCCAAGCAATGTACCAGGTCATCAGAAGAAACACACCACTCAGCCAGGTATGGTAAAACAAGGAGAGATCCAATAAGCCACTCAGAGTGTCAAGAGGATGTAATTTACTGCAGATAAAATAACCAAGAGGATGTAAGTATTTTAGTATTCTTATTAAGAAAAATTAATGACATTAAGAAAAATAAATATTAAATAAGTAATAATGACTACAGTTTTAGTCAATTAAGGTATTAAAACTCCAGCTTCCCTATTTTAAAACAAACAGCAGTCATAAAAAAATAAGACCTCCCCCCCAAAAAGAAAACACCACAGAAAATCAGATAAAACTCATAGATGCAATCTGAAGTGTTTACCCTAATACTTTAGAGACTTACAGAAAAAAAAAAAAAAGGTGATTTCCTAATTACTATTTTAATGACAACATGGTTCCTACAAGGAGATGCTAGTTCTTTTAGAATTCATTTCAGAAATGGCCAGAGCTCCCCACATTCTCTATGGGGAGACAAAGAACTGAGTCCTTCTGCCAAGGTGCACTTCCTCAACAAAGGAACCTCTCAACAATACTCCAAGTTTCCAGCACAATGTCCTACCCACCCGTCTGTATGAAGATCCATCGTGGTACATATCCACACCTTTGGGATATAACCTAAGGGGTCAAAAAGAAACTCTGAAACAAATACATCAAAATACAAATACGAAAGACATACAGTAGGCCAAAAAAAGAAGACAAAAATAGAATTCATGCAGAGACAAGAGACTGGTCTTGTAACTCACATGGACAAGGAAACAATTTGCATTTGGGGTTACTTTGTTTTAAGAAGTAGAAAAAAAGAGAATGAAAAAAGGCTTCAGGCTAGCAGCTATACACTGAGAGATGTAGACCTCTTTTATTGCTGCTTCTCACCAGCGAGTTAATTGTGTTTCCTCACTAACAAAAGAGGGTTAATAGTAATTTAATATTAATTTTCACTACAGCCAAGACAGCAGCAAAGTGCTTTTAAAGACCTAATGGAATCTGCTATCGAACCACCATACTTCTAATTTATCCCCTGATGTAAATAAAGGGATAATAATTCTTGCATATTTTAACATCATTTAGGAGAACAATTACAACCAACAAAGAAGTCCTGATTTTTAGAAAGTCCAGTACAATCATCTTCATCAGCACAGATTTTTCTTTTACCACAGACCAAACTCATCTTCTCATGGGAGAGAGAGCCATCCTGCCTCTGTTTATCAAGCTCCTTAAAATAATATACAGGACATTTGAAAGTAAAGCAAAAATCTTTTTGCCTAATGTAATGCGATGATACAGCAACATTACACACAGTGAACTCCTGCCCACTGCTGGTGTGTCAGGTTCAGTTCTGGGATTACATTTCCACTACCAGGCAATGGAAGGAGAAGTCCAAAGCCTGCTGATCAAAAACTAATCAAAGTTTTCAAATACAGGAATTAGAAATAAAAAAATAGATAATTTCAGGAACGCTTACCAAAAAAGTAATATGTGACACAGAAGTTTCTAACAAAATGTAGTGATTCCACACAACTGTGTTTTATCAGGAGAGGCAAAGATCTTCTGAAACGTAAATACTTGTATTGCTAAAATCAAACAAAATAAATAGTTTAGTATTCCACGAGCAAAACAAATCAATGAAACAGTTAATAAAAATACAACAAAAAAGGACAAGGTACTTAAAAGCTTGAAGTCTAGATCAATTAAAAATTTAATTCAAGGTAATTCCAGGTGTTATATTATATGCTCCCAATCTTTCCTAATATTTTAAAACCATTTCTAGTTCTTATTCTGTTTCCTGCTTGTAATAGTGAAAACAAAGAATGGGGTAGATTGACTCAATACACAAGGGAACAAACTAGAATAACTCTGTCTAAAGCAAAATAAAGAAAAGGGAAAAAAAGGGCATATTTAATCTACTAGATTTCATTTGCATTCTAAATGTTCAATTAAAATATAGGGAAAATTTAGACAAGCCTGAGTTCCAGAGTAATCCTCCAAACAGCAAAACTAACGTAACACTGATGCTTTCCTCCGAACAAATAAACTACACATGTTTCCAAATGACTGAAGCAACCCAGCTGACAAATGAAACCATGAAAATGAAACTATGCAAATGCAACCAAAGTAATTTAATTTTTTTATTTTACTAGGTTGCATTAGAAAAAAAAAAGAAAAAACATAAACAAAAACCCACAACAAAAAAAAGGATAATTAATAATATTGAAATACACTTTTTTTAAATATTCTAATTACAGCATTGCCAAAATGCTGCTTGGCTTGATGATGAACAGAAAGGTCAGCATAATGCAGCACACATGTTTTTCACTAATACAACCAACCTTGGCTAAAGACATCTCTTGCCAAATGGTTGGACTGTGTCAGTCTGGGAATCAGGCAAAGTTAATGGCAGCTGTGAGGCTGCAGCAATAGAAATATTTTTAAGATGATGTTTCACACTGGTACAGATTTCTGCAGGACTCCTCCAAAGGAATTAATGGAATTTCAGTTTCTATAGTGCTACACACACACACATATACAAAGGCTTTAGATGTTGAGCTCTCAGCAAGATTTAATGTGCTATGTAGTCTTGAACTTTTTTTTTTTAACTGTAAAGATTTTCAGCTTTTAGGTGACCCTTGTTGTCAGCTCCTGAAATTGATACCCAGTTTGTGCACATTGTCTTTTTCCTGTAGCTCACCTGCCACCTCAGTCAGCTTTTAAAATGCATCAGAGGGGTATAGTCTAAGTGTTGAGTCCCAGCATCTCAATTTCTGTGTTCATTTAAAAGGAGCTGAGCAGGAAGGAGTAGGATGAACACTGGCATTTAAAGATGGGTATACACTTCATCAGTCAGTGACAGCAGCTGCACACAAGCAGCTCCTGCTGCCATACTCATAAATTATCCAGGCATTTTTGATCACTGTTTCACTTACACATGTATTTCTACAAAGATGCTTAAACCTCTTACCTGTATGATTGGAAATGGCAAATAATTCATGTTGTTAATAAGATAGAAAAGGCTGTAACTGTATCCCAAGAAAGCTCCAGAAAGTAGAAAGAAAAGGTGATACTCGTTTAGGCACATCTGAGGAACAGCATCTTCTAGGCTAAAATAGAAAACTTAGAATCAATTCTGAGTTCAAAACAAAAAGCTGTTCAAGACTTAGGAAACTCAAATCACAGGTTTGATTCTGCTTTCCTGATCAGTGCATCTGATACTATCTCACTAAGTTTTTGCTAAAGTAGGACTCCCATCACCTGTTTTTGAAATTTATGCATGAAACATATGCCGTTAACCACAAGACCAAGACTTAGTTCAAGTGACAACCAACTTGTCATCAACTTTCCATGAGGAATCCTGGCAGTGTAGTTTTTCTGGTGCAGTTATTTCTCTGTACATTGCAACATGTACACAGGGGGGTATGTTTTTGTCCTTTAAAAAAGAAAATCAACATATAATTGCTGGTTTTTGAGAATACCCAAATTCTTGGGATTCTTTTTCAAAGAAATGACCAGTGAATACATTTCACAATAAAAGTTCTTTGTTTATCATGGACACACACAATTACCCTTCTGAAGGCGTGCAGGACACAGCAAGAAACTGGAACCTCCCTTTTGTCATGACTGTAGCACACCAAGTAACCAGCATTCCCATGATAGCATGAACAAAGGAATGGATGACTTGCTGAGGGTGAATAATTTTTCCTATCAGTGCTAATCGAGAGCATGGTATCGATGGTACAACTGTAAATAAAAGCAGAAAAATCATTTTCACTTCTTACTAATAACATCTTTCATAAAAACAAAAAACAAAAAACATACTATTGTCACTAAGGAACTTTTCACAGTCAGGATCAGTCACTAAATTATAAATGATCATCCTATTTAATTTAGGTATCAAAGACAGTTCAGCAATTAACACAACCCACCTGCATAAAATTCAATGTTGAAGATGCTTATTATTATTATCACCATAGACATCAGGAAGATACAAAAGATGACATAGGAAGTATACAAATCATTGAAAGAATCTAAAAAAAATAAAAATAGTGTTGTTCAGAAAATTGTAATAGCACTGCAGTGATTAAGTAACAGAAAAGAGAACTTAAGCAATGGACTATAATCCACTGAGTGCTTAAAGGGGAGTAATGGTCAATGGGCTTTCTAATCCCACAAGTCTGCCCAGCTACACAACATTTCTGCACAAAAGTGTAAACTTCATAGAAACTATTTCACACCCTTAAAACTGGTTTTGTTATAAGCAAACACACAGAAGTTTGTTTAAAAAAAACATCATTGAACTGTGGCTCAAATATCACATTTCCCTTCATTTAAGAAAAGCTGAAGCCATACAGTCACACTAAAAAGACAAGAAATTTCTTACAGGGTGGTTCTTTTGGGCTTTTTCCTATTTTCAAGGGAGGAAGGAAGTCAATTCTCTCTGCCTGGAGCAGCTCAGTGATCACAGGCATCGAGCATCCAGCTAAAAATTTCTCAGTTTTCATTGCAGGCACTCAGGGGAAGTTATTCTCACCATGCAGAGTGGCTACTTCAGGAATTTCTCTTAGGATTCAGTGCACCATAGAGAAAACTGAAGCTGTTTATAGAAACAGCAGCTGCACACAGTGGAAGGGGAAGTGCGTCCAAGGACTCAGAACAGACAACTAAAGCAATTAACCTGTTTTTTGTTTTTCTTCTGGGAGGAATACAGCCACATGAACCTGCAACACGTACTCCTACCTAGGGTGGGCAGTGGCTGCTGCGGGTGTAACACAGGAACATTTCAAAGGCCAAAGACTATTCAAAATAAAAGTGTAACACGATGCCACCGTCAGTTCGCGTTATCTGGGACTGAGCCCAAAACAACAGAGCGCAGGAGACAAAAATCCAGAAACACAAACACGTGAGAACAAAAACAGGAAAACGCGGCCGGGCACCTACTCGAGATCCAGCGCACCGGATGGAACGGGTCGAGGCCGCTGAGGATGATGAAGGCCGCGGTGCAGATGGGCAGCAGCAGCACGGACCAGGTGATAGCGGCGGCCACTCGCCAGCCCAGCACCTGCGGGGACACAGCGTGAGGGGACCGGGACCCGCCTGCCCAGTGCCTGCACGGTGACAACGGGAGGGACCGGGAGCGGGGACCGGGACCCACCAGCCCAACGCCTGAGGGATACGAAGGGTGAAGAGACCGGGGCTCATCACCCCAGAACCTGAAGGGAGATAAAGTGAGGGGCCGGAGACCGACATCATCCGCCAGCCCAGCACTTGCGGGGAGACAGCAAGATAGAACCGGGACCGGAGGGGATGCGCCGCCACCCGCCAGCCCAGCACCTAAAGGAGC